GGYATTTCCTAGCACAGAAAATGCTTCTCATTACCATTACGGGCAACATAAAAGGGCTTCTGATGCTAAGAATTTGTTCTCAGGTTCTGAGATCTGCATGTTGCTGTAGCAAATCCTAATCTCTTGAATTCCTAATAGCTTTTTCCAGAAAAAAAAATACATAATACATGAAGAATGATAGAACTGATGATAGAAGAATTGATGATAGAAGAAYGGTAATTGGAACTTCTTGGATTCAAAGGCCATGCAAAGATCTTGCATTAATCCATATGACACGGATGATTCAGATGACAGTGTCTGTGCCATAAACTGAAGGGAAGGCCAGACATCCCTGAAATTGCCAGGACTGCAAGTCCAGAGTGCCTGTATTCATGACTGGACTTTGACCATTCACAGGAGGTAACAGGCAATCTAAAAAACTGAGAGTTGCAAATGGATTAACACTATTAGGAAAGGAAGCATGGGTAACCGGGAAATAGCCTAAATTTTGAATCAACTGTTGCTGGAATCATGGAGTAAATTGGCCTATCCCAACCTGGGTTTGATCTAATACCTGATTTTATGTCAACAAGCAACATGTTGGTACTAGAGGGAATGATTTCCCCTGTTCACTGGCATGTCAGTGCTTCAGAACAGGCTCCAATGAGTGAGTTTCTGAGAGCCGTATTACCAATATGCTGCCACCACAAAGCAGGTGCACAGCGAAAAGAACTAAAATTTCCAGGAGAACCAGCAGGGAAAGAAAATCTAATTTTCTGGTTTCCTATATAGCCTAAAATAGCCTGTTTGCTATACCTTGGTCTTTGGAATAACAGTGATTATGAAGACTGTGGTGGTGTTTACTTCCTGGTGGTGTTGTAGCATACTCATGGGGTASTTTGAGTTTCAGATTCTGCCCGGCCGAAATTCAGTGGAGTTGAGTAAATGAAATATACCAAAAAAAAAAAGTTGGTGGGCTTAGGAAAACCTGCAGCAGATTTTCGTACCCTTTCTTGGCAAACTTTTCCACACTGCAGGAAATGGGGAGGGTAAAAGCCAAGAGCAGTGGCTTTTGTACTCAGGAACAAACAGCCTACGTATGTATTTGCAGTTCTAGATTGAAGCAGGCTGAGAAATCCGTCTATATTCTTACACTAGTCAGAACAGAAATTCTGACTGCACAAATGTGCAGTGAAATTGTTGAAATTAATCCACCAACATATCCRCTATGCTCTGACAATGAGGTGATGAGCTACTGTGTGCCCCAGCTCCTGTTCCAAGGAGGCAGGAACTGCAGAAAGGGCTCCTGAGGATCCAGCAGTGGGTAGGACATGCACCAGCTGTGGGCTGGCATTGCCATCTACAGACATTTCAAGCAGTCTTGAATCTAACATGGATYTGCAGCATGGAAAGAAAGGTATAAGGGGCAGGAATTCAAGGTGGTTTCAGCACAGCTCAASTGGATGCAGATATCCTCACACTGTATCCTTGTGGGCTGGTGAAACGGCTCCTGAACATCACCTTTGGCAGCACATCCTTCCATTGCTGAGGAGGTTGCCTAGAGCATTCTTGCAGAAAGACACCTTTTTCCCATTGTTTCACTTCGGTGACAGGAAAATGTATCAGCCCTGATACCTTCCTCTCTAAAACCACAGAAACAGTAAAATTAATCTCTGGTCAATGGTTAGTATTAACTTATAACAAGCTAACTCAAGTTCAGTGAAACTAAGCCCAGAACCTTCAACAGAATTATGGCAATTAGCATTTGAGGGAAGGAACACATAACTGCTTTAAATGAAAACTATTTTGCCATTTCCTCAAAGTAAAAGCTTGTAAAAGCTTTCACTATGACTAAGATCTGCAGTGATGTTGGAGATCATTCAGCCAAAGATTATGCTATAATGTCTATTTATGGCTTTAGCATTTTAAGGTTTTTGTGAAGTAAAGCAGTAGGGATAAAGCGGACTCCCTCGCATCTGCTATGCCTTGGAAAGAGAATATGTGCCTGCTCAGGAATYAAATCAGGAATTACATATTCAATCAAGAATACCCATGTGAGGAGTTAAGAAAAGTTGAATGCTAAATGCTCATCCAACACTCCACGTAACAGAGGCACAAACAGGGCATGCTAAAGTCACTCTGTTTTGAGAAGAAGACAGCTCCACTGGCAGCCCACTGCAGCATCCCAGAGCCTCTCAGTCAAGGGTGGCTGGCTTCATCCCAGGAGTGGAGAAGGAGAGACAAAAGGTAGTCTTAKTTGAAAGGTATCTCAAGTCTGCTTTCTATTATTCCAAAAGGAAAGTACGTCAGTACTGTGTACTGTACAYTGTACATTACTGTGTACCAAAAGATAGGCTGGTGGAGGTGCAGCCTACACAAGGCTCCACAACTCAAAGATGCACCAAGCTCAGACCCATTATGTGTCTTTCTTGCAAAGAGGATTGTGATGGCAATATCCTTCCTCAGGCTGGTTTTGTTTGCTTTTTTTTCTGGCAAGAGAGATCTTTTCTAATAAATAACTGCTCTTCCTTATGAGATAGACATTGTCAGTGTCCAGAGAACACAAAATTGATCCTATCTGCCCAAAACTGCTCACAGACATCAACTATCATTTTGTTTTCTTTACTGGGCAAAAAGAAGGATGATGGCTTTTAAATTAGATGTTGAACCTCTTCCAGAATTGCAATRTAAGATACCAAATCAATCATTCTTCACACAGTTACCTCCTACTCCATTYGCTCCTACTACCACAAAAATTGGTTGTTGCCAACTGAGCTGAGTGAGTAATTTGCARTTTCATATTTGCTAGAGGAATTTTTCATTTTTCTCTTTTCATTATTTGTCCACAAGCAGATTCATTTTCCTTAATATCTTTGTTCTAAACATATGTCCAGTAACCATTCTGCAAGTAATTCTTGCTGTAAATCATTCGTGAGCAATTTGTTGCAAGAAGCCTTCRAACATTTGTCCCAAATCCATTCATTGTATATATGAACTTGCATCACACGCCTCTTTCTGTGAACAAAACATCAGAAGAGGCAGTTTTGAATATTCTCCCTGAGAACAATTGAAATTATGCACAATTTCACCATTTAAAATCATTTCATTTCTAGAAATAATGGCAAGWTTCTCCTGGTTATTGTTACACTTGAATGAAGACCAAAGCTGTATCAAAAGCCCAGCTGAAGAGTCTGACCAGCACCACACTGGAGTCAGTGCAAAACTCTTCTTTCTCCAATTTTTAGATGGAGGAAACTGTCCTTTTCAGACTGTAAAATACTGTCTTCTAAGATAAAAGTTCAAAGGAATGAACTTTTCAGTGGGATCTGGGTTTAGTACCTTGTGTCCTCTTACAAAGAAAAGCACTGGAGTAACTGACAATWTGGAAAAGGGGGTGAAAGTCAAATCAAATACTGAGTGCCATCGTAAGCCAGAGCTAACAAGCTTTAGAATTTCAAATCTAAGTCTCACAGTTGGCCTGAAATGTTTGCTTTGCAGGCATCTGTAAAATACAGGCTTGGCTCTGGTTGGTGAAATGGGGAAAGCTTTGCTGGTATTCCAGCTWCTGCAAATGGCTGCTGCAGCTGCCACCCCAGCACTTAAGTAGGAAAAATAGAAATGTAAATGTCATGAATTCTTGGATGATGATGTTTGTGATTGTAAATGGGATATGGACGGGTACCTCTTCCATTGTTCCTTACTGTCCACTATGAAAAHAGGAAGATCTTGAAAAACAGTTTAAAATTTAAAAAAAAAAAAAAAAATCCACATAGAAATACTAAGGACTGCTAGAGAGAATTGAATTAACATTTTTTTCAAATGTGAATTTTGGAAAAGAAGTTTTATTTTTGCTCTCTAACTTCTTTCGAAATGATTTTTAAAASTGTCAGTGTAGAAAAGACTTAGTGCACTGTATGTCCTTAACCCGCACCATCTGAGATGGACTGAAAATCAGGACCTCAGATAATATAGTTTGTTACAAAAAGTTGTTTGTGTTAAGTATCAAAGTTCCCTGACCCCAAGGTTCAAACCAGGTCTTGCCCACCAACCTGGGGGGCAGAGGCAGCCCTGCCAGGGGGTGGGGGAGCCCCACACTCCATGGGAGCTCCCCCAGGAGCCTCACCCACCTTCCCAACCTCAGCAGAACYGATACAAACCATGAGAGGGCTGGCCATAGAACAGTGTTTTATCACCATGAGACATTCAAATGCCATAATTTATAGCCTTAATTTGCATCTCATTTCTGTGATGTAGTTGTACACTGCCAACACAGTACTGGAAATTAATACAGTCCAGCTCATGTCACACTGCTGGCCCTTCAAAACAGGAAGCTGTGAACACAGTTCTCAGAAATCAAGTCACTCAAGACAAGAAAATTATTATGAAGCTGAACAACAATAATTTACACGTTGAAAAGCTCCCTGCTTTTTCTTCCACCTGGAGCTGAACAGGGAACTCTTAGTTTTATTGTATGCTGAGGTGAAATTTTACTCTTTGGCAAGAGCAAATAAATCCATGTTTCTTCTGTTGACTTGCTTAACTAGTGTGGTGCTGTATGTGCTCYAGAAAGGGCTGTGCATCCTCCTCAGAGCAGGCAATACTGCACCCATGAGTTAAAGGCTGATATACAGTTTGGAGCAGTGGGACAGCAATTCCTGCACCAAGTGATGTGTACAGTATTCCCCTTCCTATTAGATGTGGATCTCAAACATAACAGAATCTTTAAATTTAGTTTTATTTATAGTTTATGCTGATCATATAAAATGTGATCAACTCAGAGGCACAGCATTATCTCTTTGCACTTTTCACCACTTGCTGGTGTTTTCTTCCCAGCATCTACATGTTACCACTTCACGCTTGGTATTGTGATACCAGTGGAGTTTTAAGGCAAAGCAATGTGGATGTGCTAGCATAAAACAAACTTCAAAAATTAAAACTTTGTAAGACGATAGATTCTTTCCATGCATTTCCTGTAATTACTACAGAAAACTACAACATTATACATCAGATGGGAAAGTTACCGTACTAAAAAACCCCAAACTCTAGCCTGCATATTSAAGTTCACTTACATTACTGAAAGGGCAGCAGTCCAAAATATAAATAACATGAGCTGGAGGAGCCAGSCTGTCACCCTGAGCGGCCCCAAACCGCGGCGCTGGTTTGAATCGCAGCTCTCTGTGCGGCTCCCGCGCTGTTCAGTACCTGTGGCTTGCTTCCACCCACTGCAGAATGAAACATTTGTTCAGTTCTGTCATGCTGTGCTCTGCTTTGCTGGTGTGAAATAGCACAAAATGAGGTACACCATGTACTCTTACTCTAGAGARCAGGTATAGTCTCTGTAATTATACCACAACTGCATGGCAAACACCATGTAAATACAGAGTAAATGCACGTTTCTGCAGCTTACTTGTTAATTATGCATTGCTACTAAYGAGTTCAAAGATGAATTATCATAGTAGTTGCAGGATTTAGGTACTTGTTGCGATGGGTCATAATGGAATTCATGCTTGCTTTTGTTGATTTTCCAGTGGACTGGGGAAGGGAAACGACTCACCTCACATGTCCAAAGGCTTAAGTGCATATTTAGTTCTGGTACAGAAGAGGCACACTACCCTACAAAATAACATGGCACAATTAGGAAAACAGGATGAATAAACAAACCAAAATAATTTCCATTAGTAAATCACTTTTCAAATTCCTTTTAGCAATCCTCCAAAACAAATGTGTTTAAAATCACTGGTATTGCATGCAACAGAACTGATATGGGCTTCCTGGCCCAGTATTTAAACTTGCATGTGCTAAAACCAAGAGGAAAACATCATTACACTGATGTCACTAGAAAAACTATCAATTGCAGTGGGAGCAGGGCTCTACTGATGCAGCGTACCTTGGCTCATGAAACATGTATTTTTTATGGTATCAGAAATAGATCACCATGTCAGGCCAGCTCGTAGCCTGTGCTAGCTCTCTTCTGAGCAGCACTGCAGTGTTTTGGACTACCACTTGTAATTTTTAATAGGTACTTTAAYAGCATTCAATACAATTAAATTAGCCTTCCTATAAACATTGCTCTTCTCCAAAGCAAAGCTTCCCTTTAAATTATCACTCCACAATGGTTGTTTGGCCAGCCATTTATACTGTCTTTTACAACCTGTGTTGGATCACCTTGGGTTTTAGTTGATTTTCTTTTTCAATTTCATTATTTTCATATTGATTTYCTACCTGAGAGGCGATGTTGATGGTTCTGATSCTTTTTTTCTATTGAAATTCTTGATCCATTTCTTCTAAAAAATGTCCAGTGTCTATTACAAAGAAAGATGTTGGTCTTTAGGGATTGCAGAATCAGGATGAGYAGAGACAAAAGAGCCAACTGTTATTTTCTGTTGCTTACAGAAACCTGAAGTATTGAGTAAGACCCCACTGAAATTGGCTGTGCATAAATGAAGACGAAAACAGCAAACCCAGGGCAGGGAAGTGACAGTTGCGGACAACACAGACAAACAGAAACAGATGAGAGAAGGTGGGACCAAAGAGCCAGCAGTGATGGTTGTGCTGCTGGTAACACCCTCGGCCCCTGTCCCCATGTCAGTGCACAGGACAGGAAAGTAAGCATCTRCTCACAGTGTCTTGAGGAAATTTAGGAGATAGATGTTTGGATTAAATAACTTGTTGACTGTAGAGGAAATTTTGGAATAACTGTCCATGGGAGGGACAAGTAATTTCCTAGTGAAAGAGATGGCTAGAGTAGGTGGGTCAAGGAGGGTAAAGCAAAGAATAGTAACTTATTTGAACTGACAGAGAAGCAGGAAACAAAGGGAGAATGAAGAGATTACTAAGGATGTCAAGCCATAAATCAGATACAATTATTTAACTTGATCGTTCTAATGGCATTGGTCAAGCCCACAAAGCAAGTGTGTTACAGATATGAACTAYAAGATCATAAGAGCCTGCTTCAGAGTTTCAGTTCTTGGTTGGCATAGAAAAGGACCTATCTGAAAAGCCATTTCTGTCATGGAGAAGTAAGTGCCAAGTTTAGATTCAGTCGGTCCAAGGTGACCCACAGTGTAACCTCTGCTGAAGTTGAAACAGTGGATGGACATGAGAAAAAAGCAGTGATCATACTGTTCATAGAAACTGTGAGGTAAACTGATGGAATGAGTTTTCAAGAATCTAAACCACCCTGGTTTAGGATACAGACCTTGAAGAGATAACCACACCTTCGTGGAGAAATGCCATGAGGTTCTGGTTTGGATAGAAGTGTGTCCAGAAATGGCAGGATGAAATTCATATTTATGGTAGAGGTTTCTTAAGGACCGAGTGTGGATGAAGCAGAAAGAGAGAACAGAAAAGCTTACAGGGAGGCAGAGAAAAGATAAGGATGATGTTTCAGTCTGTTTTGAAATAGCARATAGAAAACATAGGGTGTGACATAAAAATTCTTCATGTATTTCAGCCAGAGAATAGCTGCCCATGCCTGGGACTTCAGAGTTCAAGGTTAAAGATGAGAGGAAGGGAAGGACAAGAACCTGCTTAGAGAAGCCAAGCAGRAACCGAACAGGATCAGGTCACTGTAGCTCTACATGACACGCTGGAGTATTTGACTATCCAGTATGCTCTTAATTGCAAGGGCAACACTGGCAACAATTCCTAAAAAAAGGATATTCTTACTAAAGATCCTTGGCTCTTTAGTGGGAAAATAACTTCAGATACAGCATGATTGTTGGTTTAAATGGGTTTATGTTTATGTAATGTATATCGACCTTCAATAAAAGGGAGCTTTTTGCCTTCAGTACTGTGAAAGGACAGTCTAATTGAGGCTCCTTAGCACAGCTGCTGCAGCTGATGGGATCCTCTGAMGATGGAAACCTTGATCAGATGGAGGATGAAAAAAGAGAAAGAAACATACCTTGTTTCCTTTCACTCGTTTTAGTCCCTCCTCAAGTCTACCATGGAGCCTCAAGAACTGTTTGTAGGTTCTGCTAGAACACAGCCATCTGCCAAAGACAAAATAAATACAAATGATGTTTCTTCACTCCCAGGGTCTGATCTTGTTCTTCCTGAAATTTGCAGCAAGATTCCTGCTGTCTTCAGCAGTACCTGGCAAAGGTCAGATGTAAACTTGAAAGTCCCTTAATGAAAAYAGGCTAAGAGTAGTGAATGGGAGAGATACTCGTTAATAACTATTTAGGAGAACACGGTGTCCTTGRAAGGCTAATTATCTTAAGAGCTACCCATTAAAAAATGTCTAATCAATGGGAGAACAAATTAAAAATGAAGAATCTCTCATAAAACCAAACAGTGGAATACTGCATTCAAGAGGACAGTCACCAGTTAAAAGAAATGTCAACAACTCAAGTGGCAGGAACTTCAAAAGGGATTTTTTTCCCTCATTTTCATATGCATTCTTCACAAGCAACATCAAGAAGTGTAACATGCTAATAGCTAATAACATTCATGATAAGATTCACTAATTTACTAACTGAATAACTTAATACATATCAAAGGAATTATTTTCTCATTTAATTCTATTTTTTAGATCTAACACTAAGCTGGGTACTATCAAGTAGTTAATAATTATCAACTAGATTACAAGTCATCMCTAAAATAGTAGTTTTAGAATTTAGATTGCTTTTTTTTCTGTTGGATATCTCCTTTAGGTTTAAAGAATCACCTTTTACCCTCGTTATAACTCAGACGTCAAAAAAGAAATCAGGAAGGTATCTTTGTGGACATGCAATGTTTTGCCAAAAACAAAGTGTTTGGCCGAGACAGACTTGTTACAATGTTAAACTCTGAAAATGCAAAGGACTGCAGAGGGATGGTGCCACTCACCAGTCCCAGGTMAGCCAGTAACACCATGGTTGGGAAGCGACCTGAAGTTCAGGAGGCTGGGCCCTGAGCTGAAGCAGAGATGGGATGTGGATGACTCGTGCCACAGAAGTCCTCTGGCTATCCTGGCACGGAGGACTCTCCCTCCAGCTCCTTTAAACAGTGAGAGGTTGATGTGATGCCAGTGAAGAACAAAAGACAAAAATGTACATTTTTTTWAATTGCAAAAGAACAGTGTATACTCCCTATTTTGTATACTCCAAAATAATGCGCTAGGTGTTGAACATCAGAACAATTCCTAGTTAAAGTGATTTTTAGAAGCCTACTTATAGAATTCTATTAAATTTAAATAATGCCTTGCCTTTGCTACCATTGCACTATGTGGTCCACTACTCTCTGCTCAAAGCCTCAAAGAACAGGTTATCGTTAAGGTACCAAATAGAAAACCAGTTTGTTCTTTCTGTTCCTAYGCCACAGTCAGAGAATTTACTCAGAAAGGCACTAGACTAAAAGAGCCATCAATGTCCCATTGTCTGCCTGGTGGCTGAAGAGAAGCAGAGTTCTCCTGGGTCAGTAGCAGGACTGATGCTGTTTACCATCTTCAKTGTCATCTGGTAATGATATTGAATGCAGAAACAGCAAATCTGAAGATGACACGAAATTAGGGTCAAGGTGTTGGCATGCCACAATAGTAACCTTTGTGGAAGAATCTTCAGGAACTTGGGATCTGGCCAGCAGAAATCCCATCAAATTACAAAGGCCCACACCTATTAACCCAGTGTTAGGAGAGGTTGGGAATTGYTTGGCAAAGTAGTAGCCCTGCTGGAAAGAACCCAGAGGTGATAGTGTGAACAATGGCATGCTCGTGGCAATTGGGGAACACTACACCTCACCTGCTGACAAAGAAGGGTGGCCAGTGGGTTGAACTCATTATCCCTGTCTCCTCAGGCCAGGAGAGTCACATCAGAATAGTTTCCAGCTTGGGTCCMTGAGGTTAAGAGGCCATGTGGAAATGGGAAACAGAACAATGGGATAGATAGGACCATGGGACACATGCTCCAAGTGATGGAGGTGGCTATGGCTCTTCAGCTTGGAACAGAGAGGCCCAAGGGGTGAATGAATAGCTGCTGGAACTGGAGCTGGAAAGAAGACAGGACCAAACTTTTTGTGGYAGTGACAGATGGTCCAGTAACAGGCAATTGCCACAATGACCAATTGYGGGGGGGAGAAGTAGGCTTCCAAAAATCCTGGAGAGGGTTTTTTTACAAGGGACAAGAGCAAACAGCTTCAGACTGAAGGAAAGTAGGTGTAGATTGGATATTGGAAAAAAATTCTTRGCTGTGAGAGTGGTGAGACCCTGGCACAGGTTCCCAGAGAAACTATGGTTGCCCCTGGATCCCTGGAAGTGTCCATGGTCAGGTTAGACAGGGTTTGGTGCAACCTGGGATAATGGAAGGTGTCCCTGCCCATGGCAGGGAGTGGAATGGGCTTTAAGATCCCTTCCAACCCAAACCATTCTGTGATTTTATGATTCTGTGATGGTGGCCTGGAAGGTTCAGACTGGACATTAGGAAGAATTACTTCACTGGAAGGATATTGCAGCACTGGAAGAGGGTACCCAGAGGGGGATAACCAAACATTTGGCCAGGTAAATTCACAGCAGAGCTAATCTATGGTTGGTTCAGTCCTGATTAAGCAGAAGGTAGGAGCTGATCAAAAGGCTCTTTCCAAACACTGTTTCTATGATGTGACTAAGATTTAAGCCAGTAGTATTATCAAAATCTTAGCATAGGTGATGTCAAACACAACTAACTCAATAGTTCTTACACTAATAAAGAGAAAGGAAGATACACCTCCTCACCAACAGGGCATACCACTGCAGCATGTTATAGACTCATATCACCATCGTCTCCTCACATCCCACCCATAAACATGATGTGTTGTGATGCCCCTTTAACAGGGGAGGCCAGGGCTGTTGGAACCAATGGTTTTGTGGCAGATGGAGCAACATTTGCAACTAGAAAAAAAAACAATCTCATGCTGCCAAAACATTAATAATTCCACTTGCTTGGAAATTTTCTGCCTCTGTCACCACTACATGTAAATTTGTCATGTAAATATGACTTCTTCCAAGCAAAAAGACTTTGTTCAGCAGGCTTTCTGAGGACAAAGACCTCTCTGCACCTATGTTTTTCCTTCCTTTAAAAACATTTGCTTCCAGGCACAAATTTTCAGAGCTGCAGCACTGTAGGGATGTTACTTGTGGCAATTCCAATGAGAGGCAAGAAGTGAACAGGGCTGGTTTGGGCAGGCTGGTCCACAGTCCACACTCAGCTGAACCAGGTAGGGGCAGGCTTGGTAGTAAGGACACATAGTGAAATACAACAGGGAATGGCTTCTTTTGGTTTGTTTGTATAATTTTGCACACTGTATCTCCACCTGTGAATGCCTGTATTCTTTACAGTGTGATAAAAATGAAAATTTCCTGATCTTCCTTAAGAGCACCCAGTATTTTTCATAGACTTACAATGTTTTTTATTAATTTCCTTTTGAAAACAGAAGCTCATAATCCTTTCAAATTCTACATCTATATAACATCAAAACATTTCAGTGAATTTTTCAGTCTATTTAGATGCTAGCCTGGTGCTGGAGTCAGATGTGTGGTGGCAGCACTGCAAGCAGTGAAGATGTCCAACCTCTCTGCAGTTCTCCTTGCTGTAATTATTGCTCACTGGGGAAACAGAGATGCCCCACTCTTTAGCAGAAGGCAATGGGACCAGTGTGCTTTTAGTTTAAAAAGACAGCCATGGTCTCTCCATTGAGGAGGAGCTGAGATGTATTTTTAATTTCACACTTTTCTATACATCATGACAAAAACCTGCATAATTCTATTCTCATTTAGTAGGAGATTACAAGAGGAAGAAATAGTCTGATACATTTTAGATTAGAGTTTCTTCCCTGAGAAGAGGGACTGTTGCAATGTGGTCCCATGCCAGAGAGAATCTTCCCCAGTACTGTAGGCTGGACCAATATATTTTCAAGAATTGCTGCACTAAACTGAGAGTTCTCCAACATGATGCTTCTGGGAATTTAGGTTACTCTTTCTCTGTTAGGACTGGCATTAAGACATGAAGGTAATCTGTATCATAGTGATATTACCATGATTGCTCTGAAAAAGGAAAAGTATCACACATCTGTTTGCATTCTCCAACTTGAGACATACTTTTAGGAAGTTAGTTTCTGATGGCATGTTTGGGCAAATGATGCTTTATCTGCATGCTTTTTCTGCGTATCATCCTGATCTGGGAACATGAATGCCATAACCAGAAAGCTATGTTAATTGTACAGGTTGGTTAAGTCAGTGCAGTGAAAAACATATTCCTCACGACTATCAGCCTCACAAAATCTGCTCAAAAAGCTGGAGTTCTGTATCTGTTAAAGGAATCACAGAAAGAGTTTGTAACAAAGAGCATCTTGGCTGTATGGATATGATATATTTCTGTTTCCTAAAACAAAAAAAAAAAAACCCACTAAGTGTATGAACTGGTACTGTAAACATAAACACAAGCATAAGTAAAAGAGTTCTACTGTTGCTGGACTTCTCCTCCTCCTCAATTTAGGCAGTCAGCAAAATTACTTTCTCAGTAGTGAGTTACAGTAAAGAATTGTTGACTGTACTGTAACTGAGAGGAAAGACAAAGTTAAGTCAACAGGACTCGCTTCAGATTGTGACACTTCAAATAAAGCCTCCAAATTTGTTTGGTTCATAAAAATGAAAGTATAGAGAAGATAAGTATTACAAAAATACAAGCTTATTACTATAGTAATTTTTATGGAAATGCTCACAATTGATTTAGTGTTATTTGCTTCTAATTTGGGCTTCATTCTCCATACTGTGTGTTTGTTAACAAACTTAGACCACTTAATGCCAAGTGTCTTACACATTTTTCTTTAATTAAATTTCTCCAAAGAATCACATTACACAAGCATTTGCCAATACAAAAAGCACACTCAGAGATCCTGGGTAAAATCCAGGCTCCCCTGCAGTAACCAGTAGAATTCCCATTGAAGACAGGATTCTACTCTACAGGTCTTTGCTATATTTGGGTAATAAAAATTATCTTGTCACTTATGAATTACGTTCTTCAGTACACTATTCT